TTCTCAAAGTGAAAACTATTTTAAAGCGATGACCAGAAGAATGACGTATTGTTGACTTTGCTTGAGGTTTCAAGTTCCAACTTTCTGTATCCTCCGGGAGGGGAAGGGTTTCGACTGCTGCTGCATCTTAGCTACCTTCCTTTAGTCTGGTAAAGAGGGAGCGAGTTGACACTAAACATGGTCACCTCCGCCTCCTTCTCACCTTCGCTTCTCAGTGAAGAAACAGTCGATTCGAGGAATGTAGACGTGATTTTTCACTTCTCTTTTTGATCCCTTCAAATCTTCTCGTCCCGACTTTCAGTCTAGTTGTGTTTCTCCTTCAAGTAGAATGCGGGAAGGCATGAGAGAGAGTGAAAAATGTAGGTCCTTTAATTAATGGTTTGCAAAAATGTGATGGCTTCGTTGGGTGTGCTAGGTCGTGGCGGGTACGCTGAGAGAGGGTGTCGCCTTAATTACAGGCGGGGAGCTGATGCCGCCCGCCCCTCCTTGAGGTTGCCCAGATTAGAAGCCCCAAAGGGAGACATAAAACTGGCAGGCTCAAGTTACCTCCCAAAATTATGCATTTTATCCACTAATGCAATATCACGCAAAATCAATTACTGTCCACCTTGCGTGTGCTTACTTAGTGGACTATGAAGACCTCCATTCGCAGTCTCCACACCGTTCAAATGAAATCTTTGTTCTCCTTGTCATAAACTAGATTTGCATCGTCTTTTGAAGTATCTTTGAGTGTTTTAGGGGGACCACTTGAGCAATTGTTTAAGAAGGCGACATCTCTGGACGGTGGGTACTTCAGTTCTGTTTTACCGGTCTGACTTTAAACAGGTGGGCTAAATTTTCCAAAGACATGAATTCACTCTGACACGTAGGAGTGGTAGGAAAAAATTTCAGCGTCACATGCATACATTTGCTGTGACGGTGTCAGTTTGTTTATTCACGGGTTGGTTTTACAAAATAAATTGTTGACCGCTTTTGAATGTAGTAATAAAACAGCTAGTATTTTGTATTAAAAGGGGGAAGAGGTGCAGCGCGGTGTGCTACCAGGACATATCACCATAATTGACTATGACAGAAGACATTTGCGCGTCAAGTCATGTGCTTTTGCCACCTTAATTTTCCCCCTCGGTGTGTTTTACTCTCATGCTTCTGCAGATATGACTGGTAAAGAAGTAAAACAAAAGAGGCGCCCATTAAAACTACATCTTCGTGACAATTTTACCGATTTTCAGAATGGGTGGTTCGGTTTAGCGGCTCGGTGGATGCGTAATCTACCGCTTGATTTAGTATCCCTCATGGCGCACTTATCATCCCCATTTTTTTCCATTCTAACCTGGTCACTAGTAGAGAAACACAAAATGGACAATTTTTCTTGTCCATAATTCGAGTTAAAATTAAAACATTACTTTAAAAAGACCCGTGGCTTCGGCTATTGGTCAGTTCGAATTAGTCACAGCAGCCAGACAAGAGGTGGTTAAGTAATAAAGTCTGGAAAGGGAGTCTGCAAAATTGTTTTCCACGGACTGAAAGCAGTGAAGTGAACAAAGATTGAATTTGAAGCGCTGAACTGGTGGTGGACTGAAGGCTTGATGTGCCAACAAATTGGTGGCGAGGTGAAACACAATAAAGCGGAGGAAGAGGAGGGCACTGGCCGGTGAAAAGCAGTTCTCACAGCAACATCATACCGCTACCACCGCCGGTGAGACAAAACGGCGAGTAAGAACGACTTTCATGCATAATTAAGTTACTGGCAGCTGGCAGAGAGGAAATAAATGCCATCGTCCGTCTCTCTGTCTTCGTCCCGTGTGTGTGTGTGTGTGTGCGTACCTTCGGACTTCAGCAGTGCTCTGCTCAGAAAGCAGGAAGAGTGGTAAAGCAGGAATGGGGTACGTAGTTTACGTCGATCAATGTGTCGTCTAGTTGGTGGGGAAAGTGAAATTCCGGCGGGGCAGGAACTTCTCCTCTAATAATGCCTAATGCATTCTGTCAAAAATATGACAGCTGCTTTTTTCCGCTCCACGTCTTGTCGGATTCAAAGACTGAGAACCCTGTATCATGAGTTAGGGTTATAATAATAGGAAATTTTTTTTGTGACTGAATTGTCCCCTCCTTAATGGGCTTCACTACAAAGTGGTGAGAGAAAAAGAGGTGAGAAGGGACGAGAAGAGACATTTCCCCTCTGAAGTGCTCAATGAAGTAGCTTTATTGCAGCTTTGACTTGGGGCATCGTAGCCAAGATCCTGGCACCCGAACAGTCAGCATTAATGGCTGTGACAGATATGATTAATTGGCCGGGACCAAGCAGAAGGCTTCTAAAAGTGGCATTTTTGATTGCATGCGTACCGAGGCATGAATAGGTGTGTGCCTTGCTAAGGGGCAACAGTGTGGAGCACATCAACGGCTTTGGAATTCGGTTGGAGGTCATCGCATCATCACTTTAAAGAATTAAATGAATGAAGGAAGGAGGGAGCGGTGGGGCTGCAGAGTTGTGCGTTAGACTGGGTTTCTACTGCCACTGACCGACTGACCAACCAACTGCAATTTTTACTTTCTGGTTGACAAGTTCGACGACGAAATTCGGTTTAGTCAAATAGGCATTTGAAAGCAACATTGAGGTGGAGAGAACTTAAGGAAGGAGAGGTGGCGGAGCTTCGAATTCCTTTTGGAGATTTAAACTACTTTCAGTACGGTGAGCTGTGTCACAGGTAGGAAGGCAAATTGGGTGATTAACAAGCCCGGGAGATTACTGAGGCGGTGAGTGAATTCTCACTCGAGCGAAGATGCCACCATGCCTGGATGAGCTGTCAAGCTTGTCACCATCTCTAAGTCCAATCAATTTGAAATACATTTTTGCATTTGTCTTTAGTACAGTTGAGGTGTTAAGAACGCCAATGTGGGAGTACTCGTGGCCTCTACCTCCCAAAACTAAGGCGCTGGAAGGTGCGACAAGAAAACCTCTGTTAAAACGAGGGTGGCGGGTCTTAAAGGGGATGATTAAAATGTTGATGATTTAAAAGAGTCAAATGGCCACACACATATGACAACAGTCGCAAAGTTAGATCATCAGGAGGTACTCGAGGTGTGACTTTGACAGCTGCAGACAATAGCCTATGCGTCTAGCCGAGGACTGCAGGAGGAGCTGCTCAATCAAAGAATGAATTCGAGGGGTTTGGAAAGCAAGGCAGACGTACCAACGTACTGTCGAATACCAATAAGTCCGATGAAGAGGAAGAGAAGGACGCTGGTGTACTGATAGTTGAGACGATCGGCAAAATCATCGTCGTACCTTTGACGTGTGGAACCGATGCGACCGAGTTTGGAGAGTTTCCATATGAACGCCGCATCCATGACTGCAATATGCGTAGCTTACAGGCTCTTCTAGCTCGCCTCACTGTACATCCCAGTTGGCTTGCCCAGTCTAAACATGGAAGAAAAGAGGGAAATTGATAGCCTTATGAGTCGTTAAAAATTAGTCGAAATCCCGGTTTTTTTCTAAACCGCCCAAATTTAGGACGGTGGACAATGACAGCTCCCAAAAGCATGAAATGAGGTCTTCGGGTGTGAGAAGTTAGTTAACTGCACCGGTTTACACCAGTTCCCTCTTTTTCAGAACAATGAAACCTTCCCCACATTTATATCGGGTCGCATGATTGATGGTGCATTTCCAATGGAGATGGGGCGAAACGCAAGCGTTTACTTTGGACCGGAGGAGGAGGAGGAGGCGGTGGCAGTGGCGGTGGATGTGGAGGAATAGGAAGCACACGCATTAAAATTAAAGCCCTTTTAAGCTTTCAAGAGGCAGTTTTCAGGGTTGCCTCACGTAATGAGGCAGTCTTTCATGAGAAATATGTGAATTGGTTAAGTCTACACTGTCACCGAGGTGAGGAGAAACGACTTTTCTTTGCGTTATCGTTAGTTCAAAAACGGCCACCTCTCCTTCATTTCTAATCGGGGTTCTATTTGGTTTTAGTCGAATATCTTTTTATACGACAAGTATGGCAGCCGATGTCCGTTGGTGTCATCGCAAAATGTCGCTCCTCCGTGGAATGGAGAATAGGTCGTGAGAGGGGACTGAGACAACTGCCCGAGAGCATTGTGAGGCGTGGGCAACGTGACTGGTAAGGTTGTGGCTACTTAATAAACACAGTGAAGTGTTAAATCCTTTTAAATTTAAGATGGAGACG